CCTCCCTCCCTCTCTCTCTCCCTCCCTCTCTCTCTCCCTCCCCCCTCCCTCCCTCTCTCCCTCACTCCCTCCCGCCCTCCTTTCTTTCTGTATACCTCTTTCCACCTTCTTTTTCCGTTTTAAAATGTGTGCAAACGGTGCAAACCCAGGTAGCAAAATGACGTCTGAAGACGTCTTAATGACGTTTTATTGACGTTAGAGACGTCATTAAGACGTTATTAATACGTCATTTCACATCACTCTGCCAATTAGGAAATTTCTAACAAATATTTTTTACCATATCTCAGACTATTTATATTGTATATTTACCTCCGTGTATACTTTACAATTGAAATCTCTTTCTTGCTACAAAAAAAATATAACAAATGTCTCAGATCAAAATTATACTGTTTCGAAAAAAAAAAACTTCAGCGTAATATCATTTGAAAATTGCTTTTAAAATTTGAAGCTCACCTTTACTCTTTCACTAACAAATCATATGATATGTCATAATTCCATTCTTTTCAAAATAAAATGTCTTATCAAATGTTCACTTTTCAATGACCTTGCTCCAATGCTTTTGCATTATATCTAGTCGCGGCTAAAAGAATCGATTGACGACACATTATGCTGCAACGTCGATAAGATATTTCTCAGAAACAGACTTTAGTCTAAGAGATTTTTCGAATTCTTAATAACAGCGAAGATGCTTCAGACTCAGACATACATATTCTCATAATATATGTATTATTCTTTTTGTACAATTTCATATTCTATCGAATCGAGATATCGAAATATCTCATCAAACAGTCGCTTTTCGATGACCTTGCTTTTATACATTTGCATTGTATAAAGAAACGATTGACGGTGTACGATAAATTATGCTATAAAGTCCCTTTATAAAATGTTCCTCTTGAAACAAACTTTAATTTGAAATATTTTTTAAGTCCTTAATAGAAACAAGGATACTTAACTTGCCAATTAAATTAAGCGGAAAACATATCCAGTGAAACTTTTTTCATAAAAACATATATAAAACATATACATTTAATTATATATAATATATGTCCAAATATATGTTTTCTTTTAATTCTTATAATTTCTTCTAATCTCTATTACGTATGTACAGGTAAAATAATAAGAATTAAAAAATAATTTTAAAAAATGTTTTGCATTGCTTTTTAATAAAAAAGCTTTTTAATACATAAGAAAAAATTACTCATTTATGGTCATATATAAATGTAATAATTATATATAAAATGTTGTACAATCTAATCGCAATTTTACTTTTTGTAAAAAAAACAATGCAAAAGTTATTTATTATTCTTCTTATTATTCGTATATACGGATAGAGATTATGAGAAAGAAAACAAATATAGAGAAAAAATATATATGGACATTTTACATACAAACTATGTATATTTATATATTTTCTATATCTATATGATACATTTTTTACCAGATAGGTACATATATATTTCGCATCCCGCGTTTCTCAATATAAGCGCTATTCCCCTTAAATTTCTATTCGATTGGTCTTACTTATACTACCAATTGATAATTAAAACATTTAGAATAAGCATCAAGTTATGATACAAGCGAGTAAGTCGGGGACAATAAAATCGGATGTGTATGCGCACGCGATCGAGAGAACCTGATGTAAAAGCAAAAATTAAATTTGAATACCAGTATTTGAACAGGTGTGAATTGGATTCGATGTTTATTTACCATCGAAATAAGACGAACTCTCTCTCTCTCTCTCTCTCTCTCTCTCTCTCTCTCTCTCTCTCTCTCTCTCTCTCTCTCTCTCTCTCTCTCTCTCTCTCTCTCTCTCTCTCTCTCTCGCGCGCGCGCGCGCGCGCGTGCGCACACACACAAAAACGAACATTTCGTGAGCGTTTCATTAAACGGCTTTTGTCAAAGCTGTCATTCTCGCCTCGACGGAAATTACGAGAGAAAAAGAGTGACTGGCGATTTTTGTACCGTGAAAAAAAACTAGGACTTTTCGCTCCCTGATATAATTTACACTTCGATTCGTTTAACAACGACCGGTGGTCGATCGCATTTACGAGGACCCGAAGGTCAAACGTTATGCACTAATAAGTTCGAAAGCAACTATAAAATTTTGCAAGGTTGAAAACAGTTGATTGAACGAATTTTACCTCACCGCTCCGCGCTTCTTTACAATCGGATGCGCAAACGCACATGCCCGGCTTACGTAAAAAATGATATATTATTCCCGGGGACGGGAAAACAAGGATAAAGATCGAACATATTGGCATTAGCGCATTTCCATTTTTTTTCTTTGTTCCGTAGTATTTTTTCAGTGCGGAAGGATAATGATGAAAGCGACGGCTCGCGCGGTTTTGCAAAATTTATGGAAGCATATATCTCGTAAAAACCACCAACGCATGACGTTACTGAAAGAATCGCTTCGTACTCGATCGTTTTTCACGGCAAAAATGAGAATTTTGAGTACCTGTTAAAATTCTGTTATTTATATTAACTATATTAACTGTGAAATTTAAATAAAAACAGGTAAAGCTGCTCGTAATATTTAAGTATGTAATAAAGGCTCAGACAATTAAAGAATCAATTAAAAATCTAAAGAGCATAGAGCCGTAACAAGGTGTCAGCATTAATAATTTATATATTTGTGTTAAACAGATTTACAGACTTTTCGGTCTATTATGAGACTATCTTCAGTGTAGAGTTACAGAATAGTGAATCGGTTAAAATTATCGCATGGTTATAATTACAAATGCGATATTTAAGTGATTGACTATTCTTGTATAACTAATGTGTAACTATAACCATGCGATAATTTTTTAACCGATTCACTATTCTGTAACTCTACACTGAAAATGGTCTCGTAATAGACCGAAACGTCTATAGATCTGTTTAACACAAATATATAATTATTAACGCTGACACCTTGTTACGGCTTTATGCTCTTTAGATTTTCAATTGATTCTCGTAATATTTTTATATCTAAATCTAAATTATAGTGACATTTTATTTCTTTTAATATATTAAATTTTATAAATCGACATATAGGCCGATATTCATAGTCGGTTCTTATATTTAAGACCGTCTTAAGTACAATCTTCAGATGCCATAAACCAATCACAGAGCCGTATTAGCATCTTAAGACATTGCTTAACACAGTCTTAAAATAAGATCCGACGATGAATACCGGCGTGTATCTGTATGGCCCTTGTCTTTTTTTTTTACGTTCTGTCTGTAAGAAATAATCTATACGTTGTTACAAAAATCACGCTTGCCTTTTTAACCGCTGATGTTATATTTTTTTTATCCTTTTTTCTCTTTTCCTTGCCGTTAATAATAGAATTAATTGTGCGGCTTACACTTTGGTTGCGTCCGCAAGCAACAGCATTCCCGACAGATAAACGAAGAGTATCACGACGAAGACCCTTTCTCGGGGAATCTTTCTCAAGTACATTTCTGTCACTTAACAGCACCGCTAATAGATTCCGACTGATCTTTCCTTGTGATCCGTGAGTGTGGTCGGGCGAGCAAATTTACTGAAAACCAGACAGCGAGACCAAAGCTCGCTCCCACTCTCTCATGGTGCTCCTCCAGGCTTGCTTGAACTCGCATACATACATTACATGCACACGCATATACACACGTATACTCTCGTGTAGCAACTTGTGACATCAATGCATACATTCATTATATGTTTAAGACTTACAATGTAGATTCTCGTATTCATTTATAATTGTGTAATTCACACACGATCGTTTAACACCAATTTAACGCGCGATTTTAATATCAAATATCGTTAAGTGAATTCTCGGAATTCATCTACAATCGTTTACTCGCGTTGTGAAAAAGATGCTACAAGTTCTATATAACGGTCCATGATTCATATTTCTGTAATGAAATTTCTCTCTTATCTCAGTGAACACCTCGTGAACTTGTAAGTTTTATCACGGCGTGATTGCGCATATAGATACTCTCGATAGCATTCACCTTGTATTATCATATTATTATGCGACTTACCCGCAAAGACAAAATCCATCTTAAAATATAATTCGTAATATAAAACACAGATAATGGTTTAAAATCAATATATATCTAGAATAAAAGCAAAAAAGTATGAAAAATAGAATTTGTACAACTTACATATATACAAACACACATCTATATGTATTATATATGTATATACAATACCTATACGTAATATATGTGTGTAACTTATTTAGTGCCAATTGATATAATATCAGGTTTCATACGATTAAAAGTATATGTTAACAAATGAAGGTCTTGCAAAAGTTTTGTTAACCTTTTAAAATGTCTATCGGTATAGGGAATCATAACTTCCAGAGTGGAAAATAAGTCCGATGTCTGCAGCTCCTGCATCCCGATCTCTGTTATTAAGGCACTTATAACCGCCTAGAAATAATAACAAGATTAAAAGCTAAAGAGCATTCAAAGATGCTCGCGCATATGTAAGAAAGTGTATTCTCTTTAATATATCAGAAATTTTTTAAAATTAGAAAAATTCTAATCAAATTAATAAATTTTTACATGTATATTACATACACAATTATTAAATATACAATTATATAATAAATGTATATTTAATATAATTATCATACAATTGTACTTAATTATATTTAATATACAGGGTATTCAGAAATTCAACCAAAAAACTTTCAAAGATTGTCGGGAGCACCATAAAGATCATTTTTTGCAAATGGATGCGGGATCGGAAATGTGTTACATCGCTACGACGTTAGGAATGTCGGCGGCAAAAGCCTCTGAGCCAGATGAAATCAAGGACGATCCCAACATGTTTGTCAGAGTCCGCCGGTCCATGGTTCGGCGCTATCGTCTGTGCAAAGCTCATGGGGGACAACACTTCGAGCACCTGCTCTAAGACATCCTTCTATATGACATCACTCATAATTACTAGCGATGTAACGACATGTTTCCGACCCCAGGTCCATTTGCAAAAAATAATCCTTATAGTGCCCCTAACAATTCCTGAAAATTTGAATTTTTGAACACCCTATATAGTTATACAATAATTATATATAACATATATTATTAAAACTACCCAGGTAGCAGAGTGATATCAAATGACGTATTAATTCCGTCTTAATGACGTCCTCTAACGTCTTTAGACGTCATCTTGCTACCTGGGTATTTCATTTCTATACAGTAAATTATTAAATTTCATACCATACCTGAGCAGCATGTGAGTTCCGGCTATTCATATTCCATGTAACTGCACACCTGAGTAGCGATTCCTTGCGGAATGGTTTTAATTCCTTTATTATTTCTGCAAACTCGTGGTATCCTTTCTTCAATATAGCTGTTATAAAAAAAGTCTTATAATAATCTTAGAAAAATATGTACATGCATATGCATGCAAACATGCATGCAGATACACACATCGATATATCTACATCAGATACAAAGAGACATCACTGTTCAATACAAATAATTATACCTTCTACAATCTTGAGAACTTGTGACGGTCGCTCTAGCTTTAGAGCCAACTGTAACGCAGTCTGCAGTTGTTCAGCTTTTAGTAAATTGGCCAACTTTTGCTCCTCGAGCACAAGCTGCGCTTTTTCCGACGCGGCTCGTGCTTTCCTTTCTTCAGTTACATCTCTCCAAATAACCAACAACGAATCGCTACCCCCGCTAATAATATGTTTCTGATCCTTGGTGACTGCATGAGAAGTAGAATCAATGTCAAAAACATATATTATATAATATTATATAAATTATATAACTAGCCCTATTCGCTCCAACCATGCCTTTCGTGTCCCACGAATTTCTAACAGTCGTTTGTTCCGGAAAACAAATGATCGTGGGAGAATCCCCTCCACGCCGGAAAAAAGTTATTGTGGCAGGGAACCTCAGGTAAAAATTTCAAAGTCCTAGCTCATTTACTCTCGAAACGGGGAACAATCAAAATCTCGGTGGGACACAAAAGTGCATGGTTGGAGGATTACGTCAGTGTTGTGTGAAACGTAAATAAGTATTTTTTTCGATAAAAATGTATTTTTGTGTATAATTTAACCGTATTTAAAATATTTTTGTCGTTAAACAAAAAATTTAACATTCCACAGAGGTCTATTATGGCTCAGAGGCAGGTGGAAGAGGTGGGGAGGAGCTACGATTATATAAAAAAAATTAATTTTTTTACATAAAAAATATCTGTCACACTTCAAATTCGCCTTTTCTTATTCAGAATTTCTTTTTCTAGCATTCTTTAAGTCCTTAAAGTCCTTCTGTACCATTTAAAAATTACCAAATTTGCGGCGACGAAATTAAGTATTCCTATTTAATTAATAATTATCTCATTTTTTTTTTATTTGCACTACTTTTAGCTTTAATTTGCGTTTTGGTTCATTAAGCTTCGTCAATTTGTTCGTGAGTTATGATTTTTTAAGTAAAACGAGTCGTAACGTGTGTTTGTCAACATATAATTGTTATAAAAAAATATTTAAATAAATGATTTTCAAATGTTTTTTACATTGATTTTTAGGGCCACTTCGACCAACGCCGATTAACTTTAATCAACGATTAACTCAATCAGCAGTGTCGCCAACAACAAGATATTTGTCGTTGTGTATGTCGTTCTTAACCAATCTTTTCAAATATTATACTACTTCTCTTTAATTGGAATAAAGGTGTTTCGATTTTTATTTAAAATATCTACGAAAACGTGTTTATGTAACATGGATAGAATTATTAATTTTTTATTATTTGATGAATACGAGGGTTATGATCTTCCAATAAGAAGAAATCGACAAAAACCACGTATAATCAGGCCACATATAAATTATTTAGAAATTTTTAATGATGATCATTTTAAAAGAAGATTTGCCAATATCAAAGGAAAACTTTAACATGATATTAGAAAAAATTTATGTTGAATTACAACATAAAACTAACTAATCGGTATGTATAAATATTTAATACAACAATTTAAAATTATATATAATATAATAAACAAGACAAAATATGTTTATTATAAAAAAATAAAACATTAAAAAACTTATACATACTATGGGAATGCATATATGTATTGTGTCAGTTTATTAATTTATTTTAATTTATTTTAATTAATATTTTCTCAGTTCTGGTGAATAGTATATTATATATTATAACAACACAAATTAGATTATTAACACACACAGCCATATGTATATAATTGAATAAATAAATAAATATGTGTATATTTATACACATATTTATTCAATTATATACATAACTAATCGCGATTAGTTTTATGTTGTAATTCAACATAAATTTTTTCTAATATTATGTTAAAGTTTTCCTTTGATATTGCAAATCTTCTTTTAAAATGATCATCATCAAAAATTTCTAAATAATTTATACGTGGCCTGATTATACGTGGTTTTCGTCGATTCCTTCTTATTGGAAGATCCTAACCCTCGTATTCATCAAATAATAAAAAATTAATAATTCTATCCATGTTACATAAACACGTTTTCGTAAATATTTTAAATAAAAATCGAAACACCTTTATTCAAATTAAAGAGAAGTAGTATAATATTTGAAAAGATTGGTTAAGAACGACATACACAACGACAAATATCTTGTTGTTGGCGACACTGCTGATTGAGTTAATCGTCGATTAAAGTTAATCGGCGTTGGTCGAAGTGGCCCTTAGTCGAAGGTACAAAGATATTATAATAATTTTTGGGGAATTTTTCAAAGCTATTAACATTATAAAAAACACGTGGGACTCGAAAGTGCATGGTTGGAGGATTATTGGGGTGAAAAAAACGTTGGAGTAAATAGGGCTAGTATTGTTATAAATACATATATACGTATTTATAACAATACTGGTTAGATTTTCATGAATCACAAATAGGATCACCTGCGAGTGTCCAAACGTGGCTTTCATGTTGGTGCAAGGTAGATACGCACTCGGATGTTTTGATATTCCACAATTTCAGAAGACCGTCTCCGCCCGACGTAATTAGTTGCATACCGCGCGACAGAAATTCTCCTCTTAAAACGGAAGATTCATGTCCCTCAAACGTCTGCGACAAGAACAAGAGCAATTACATTACAATTAAATCTATAAACATCAAAAGAAGTAATTTATTTTTTCTTTTAGTTACCTTCAGACAATTAAGTTCCGTTAAAGACCACAGTTTCATGGTACAGTCAGCGGATGTTGTTAAGAGCACTTGATCAATCGGCGAGAATCGAACGCACCATACGCCTCTCCGGTGACCGTGAAACACACCGAGCAATTCCAAATTCTCAGTGGACCACAACTACAGATAATCATTATATTATAATTCTTGTAGCTATCATAATTTTTAAATTAGTCATACACATACAGCACATGCGTAAGATAAATTTGATTTATGCAATGACGTACCTTAGCAGTCTTATCTTGCGACGCTGTAGCGATCAGTTTGTCATTTGGTGAGATGGTTACACAGTTTATCTCTTTTTGGTGCGCTAATATTGTACAGCTTGTATTTAATGATAAAGCTTGATCTGTAGACATTAAAAAGATCATCTCAATACATACATACACGCAATGTATATTTATAAGAATACATATGTATGTACATGTATTCATAACGTAAATAAAAATCATATATTTTTAATCATACATAATTTTTATAATTACTTATATATCTACATATGTTATAAAAATTGAGATTCTATTCATTTAAATTTATCTACATTATTTTTAAATTTTTAACACGTGTTTTAATATTATGGCCAACAGCACGCACATCTGAGTACAACTATATTAATTAGAAATTAATTAGATTTAATTAATAAGATTGAAAGAAGTGAGATTCCATACTGCTCACATTCCATATATATGGATTTTCTTTAAGAAATCATACTCTCTGACTTACCATGTAATTCGAGATTGTTGGGTAATTCCCACAGTTTCAGGCATGAATCTTGAGCAACAGTGCTGAAGAATTTAAGTGATGTCTGAGATATTGCAACAGAACTAATCGACGCTGTATGCCTAACAGCATGTCCAATGCAAGACATCCTCGATGTCTCTTTATCCAATAGCCATACGCGAACACTATTATCCTACAAATAATAATTTTATATAATGTAAATATTAATTATACAGGGTTAAACGGCCAAACTTGAAATATGAATTAGAATCTCAAAATAAGAAATATGCTCGCAAACGCTTCGTTCAAGTATATATATATTGACTTCTAAAGTTACAAAATTAAGAATGAATGATTCCGAAATAATATAGGTTTATCCTTTTTACTGCTAAACACTAATCAAAATTGAAACAATTATCCTCTTTACTGCTTAACAGTAATTAAAATAAAAATAATTATCCTCTTTACTGCTTTACAGTAATCAAAAAAGTATTAAATATTTAGTTTAGAATGATGGCTTTCAAGTCAGGTCGGAGACAAACATCTCCTGCACCTATCGGTGAGAGACCAAGTGACCAAGTGACTGACTGACATTGTACGTCTGTTATTTCTTCGCATGCTTGTACTATCCTCCGTTTTAATTTATAATTGAAGGTCATTACAGGCATTTCATACACTTTTTGCTTGAAAACATTCAAAAAATCTATTGGTGTTAAATTTTGATCAAGATATTTATATTTATAGTTAAACTTTGATTACTGTAAAGTAGTAAAGAAAATAATTATTTTAATTTAAAGCTGTAAAGCTACATTATTTCGAAATTATAGATAAACCTATGTTATTTCGAAATTATTTATTCATAATAGTTCTGTAATTTCAGAAATAAATATCTTTTGAATACAACATTTGCAAGCATACCTCCAGAGGAAAGTTTTTTTATTTTGAGATACTAAATTCATATTTCAAGCTTGGCCATTTAACCCAAGAACACCCTGTATATGAAGAATACAGAGAAAAATCAAAGTCCACTTTTGTCGAAATTGATCTGATCATGCACTTGAAAATTTTAAAGTGATTTTTACGTAACCTTAATAACGCTATTTAAAGTCACACTAACATTACTACTTAATGTGCCACTTAAAATCTTACAAATTTTTGAAACATTTTTCTCAAAAATGCTTTATTTTAGAGATATTTACTGTTCCGAGACTTTTAGGACACCTGGTATATATCCCGACTCACATTTTGCGTATACCTCAGTTTATAAAAAGTTAATTGGAGTTGAAGGTTGTAAGTAAAAGGAGCATAAGATAAATTGTAATTAGGAACAATAAACTAATATACTGCACTATAAGCACTATTATTATACATATATTATTAAAAAATATAATATAATATAAAATATAAAAATATAATATAAAAATACCTTAGCAGAAGACACAAGCAGATTTACATTTGCTAGGGTCGTAGCGAGTGCCAAAACGCTGTCAGTATGACCGCACAATAGTTGACAATTCATAGAGAGAATTTCATAAAGTTTTATCTCACAACTATTGGTCGCAATTGCGAGATGACTGTCGTTATCTCCAAGATACGCAACATCTAGAATTTCATCGCTGTAGCCTACCAACTGACATAATTTAAAATTTGTATCAATATAGAATTTTTATGTAATTTTATACCAAGTAATTTTATACCAACTTACTTGCTTTTTGCATTCAAATAATTCCAATGAATGAATAATTATGTTATGATCAACAGACACCACAGCAAAAATATTATGGATGCTATTGTAAAGTAAATGTGTAATTGATAAGCCCCCTTCTTCCTTAGCCGGCGGTACTAAAGAATCGTCCTGCACATAAATCTGCTTGCCTGTTGTCATCTCCCAGATTTTAACAACACCTAGAAAATTTTTCATGTTAAATTACACATTTCCTTGTTACGCGTGTAAGAATATGATCAAAGTGTAAACTATACGTCAACCATCAACATACCTTTTTCACCAGCTGAAGCAATGTATATGCCATCGCTTTTACGCGATTTAATAAATGCCGGCAGACATTTCGCAGGTATTATAAAAGTCCCCTCAATTCCTTCGTATACTGGTAAAACACGTATTGACGTTCCAGTCAATATGTCCCATAAAATTAGCACTCGATCTCTTCCTGAACTGTGGATATATATATACATATATACATATACATATACATATATATATATATATATATATATATATATATATATATGACATATATATATATATTTCATAGTGCCTTTATTTGCATCTTTTTTTTTATTACCTGACTAAATAATTTCCATTTTCGTGAAAGTTAAGTGATGTGACTTTACTAAAGTGTCCAGAAAGAATAATTTTTTCTTGTCCAGTAGCAATGTCCCAACCATAGATCTTTGTATTATCACCAGCGCCAAACAGAAGTGATTTTTCCCTATTTGGATGAAATTCTAATATGCTAAACAAAAATGAAAATGTCGATAACTCAGAGCAATATTTTTAAAATACATTTTATTTTACATATACTGTATACATAAATTACCTGATTACTCCCTGTATTCCTCTGAGACTGTGTGTACATGCGTGATGTTGCAAATCCCATAATCTGACAGTTCCATCGCTTCCACCAGATGCCATTAAAACATCATTATTTGAAAGAGTTATTCGCATTACAGGTCCTTTATGAATAGATTTCCATAGTTTTGTTAACTTACTAGCTGTAATAAGTATAAATAACAAAAAAAAAACAGAAATATGTGTAAGTGTCATAGATAAAAATATTGAAGGCAATATATAAATTTGAATCTGATCAACTACTTTTCCAATCCCATAATTTGAACAGTCCACTTTTGTGATAAGTGATTATGCCTGTATCTTCATTACAAAGAGCAAAACAATTTATCGTATCCTCCTGTTGGTCAGCCTCTGTTATACCCAGTGACGATATCACGGAGCCTTTACTCATAGATAGCATGGACACGGTGTCTCCTTTCTGGCAAAATAAATACTCCGCGTTCGCATTCCACTGAAATGAAAAGGTGTATTGTAAATATGACAAAACAGATCAATTCTTTTAAAATACCTACTTGTATATTACCGCCAGTATAAAACGCTCCATGCCTGCATTCTACTTCGAATCTGTGAATATAATGCAGGACAATTGTCAGAGCAAAACACACTATTGTTAAAAAGAAAAAAAGCTTTAAAAAAAATGTAGTGTATATACTAGTGACGCACCGAAACAAAATAATACTTACGTTTCCTTAAGGTTAGCTTTACTCATTTTTATTATCGCTCAAGAAGAAAAATTAATTTTTTAATTACATTACATTCATGCCAATTTACTGAACAGATCAAATACACGTGATAAAATGCTAGAAACGAGAGAAGTCGGAGAGAGACGCAATGCCGACGATTTTCGTGGGACGCTTACAGCAGCGCCATTACATCCATGGGTGGAAGCACATAAAATTGCAGGAGCCATAAGCAGAATGTAGAAGCCATATGCGCATGCGCTATGGTATCTGTTAGAGCTCTACGGATACCATAGCGCATGCGCATATGGCTTCTGCTTTCTGCTCATGGCTCGTGCAATTTTATGTGCTTTCCTAGCATCATTGACGTGGAATACATACATATCTATGTATGTATTCCACGTCCATTGATGCGACCCGAGTCGGGTCGAGTAGTAAATCGAAAACGCCATAATCGTGTGCCAGTGCTAGTTTACACCGAGCATTTGATACCGCCGTAGAGTTAGCAGATAAATTGAATATTTTGGAATTATTCTTTTTCATATAATTTGGGAATCATTTGGGGAAGTTTGGGAAAATTGTTTAAACATTTGGGAAAGAATAGATTTTTTGTTATTAACAAAATTTATCGAGCGTCAAGTTAGCAGATAGTGACTATGTTTAATGTTTATTATAAATGGAATCGATTGAAAATCATTTGGGGATGACATCTTCATTGTAATTTTTATTTGGGAAAAGTCGGTTTTTTTGTAATTTAAATAAATCTTTGTATTAATGTTCTTTTTCGCTGCACTTCTGCACTAGTACAACAAGTGAACTTATTGCACTAGTTCAGAAGTGTAGCGAAAAAGAACAGACCATTATCGGCAGTAGAGACCCTTAGGGTCTCTATATTTATCATGTTGTCTATGATTTATACCCGGCTTTAGATAAGTTAGTTTGGAAAGAATGACAGTACAATTTCTACGCAAAAAAATCCGTACCAAAAGATTAGTATAAATCGGTATAAATTTTTATGCGGTCAACGTTACTGTTAAGCTTTAAAATTTTGTATATATTTTTTTAATACTTATTTCAATTGTGCATATATGTATGCTGTTTAATGTTTGATCGTTTTACGTATTATCTATATGACAGTATTCTATATGACAGTACAGCACCCAGTTAAATGTTAATAACGTGGGAATTAAGATAAATATATGATTCGATCAAGTCTTAATTTAAATATCTATTATTTCCAATGGTTATAAGAAGCTCTGGTAAGGAACATGAAGTCAATTTATGAAAGTAATTTTATTTTTTATGTAGAACATTGTAAATTTTACAAATGTAAATGTTTTGAATATAATACAGCAGCAATATATTAATATAAATTTAAGCAACGTTATGTTTCAGATGTGTTAATTTAAATCCTATGAAGTTATCAAACTCTGAGCTATATAAAAGATCATCGTACAGGAGAAATAGATGTTAAATGATATGACAATATTAAGTACTTCAAATTGGTAACACAAATGTCCATAAATATGGATACCATGAGGTACTGTCCACCGAACATTACTTTTGACGATATCTGGATAGACCATGGCGTATCTAAATGTTTCATGGATACCGTCTCTACAAGTATAATTTCTTTGTACTTGATTATATTTGGATCTGCCCAACTTTGGATATATCGCAAGTATGGGACAGAAACTGAAGAAAGTATATTACCAAGAAGCAAACTGTATAATTTACAAAAATTTGTGCTGTACCTTGTCCCTGTTTTAAGTGTAATAAGAATAATTTTACAAGCTACAGTCTTGGACAATGGAATGGTCTATGGATATATGGTGAGAATCATTATACATAATACAAGTCTTTGTTTTGTGTAAAGTTATACTTTCTATTACCCAGATAGCAGAGTGGCGTCAAGTGGCGTAATAGTGCAGTCAAAGTGACGGATTGTTGTTGTTAGAGACATCACTTTGACGGCATTGTAACATCATTTGATGTACTCTGCTATCTGGGTATATAGGGTAACTCCAACTGTTTACTTTTCTAACTTTTGCCTGTTATAATACAATATTTGTTTAAACAAAACTTTTTCAGTTTAGAAAGAATTTCTATTTGTTCTTTTACTTGACAGCAAAAAAACAGATAAAACCCATACATTTTAAATGTAAAAGTGGTTCCGGTCAAATTGGCTGAAATATGTTGTAGCTTAGGTGATGCTGATCAAAAGTCTCTGTGGACAACAGAATCTAAAAATCAAAACTAAAGCGGGGAGCACACACTTCTGCACAACGCATAATACGTAAGCATAAGAAAATTGATTGGTTTATTTTCTTATGCACATGTATATGGACCAATCAGTTTTCTTATGCTTACGCATTATGCGTTGTGCAGAAATGTGTGCTCCCCGCTTAAAAGTTACGGTGGCTTAAAGTGAGTGCCATTGGAGTTTAAAAAATGCCTGTTCTTTAATACATATATTAAGTTAATATTAAAATGTTTGAAAAAAAATATATGTACATATATACATCTAATGTGTGTGGATGTGGATATGTATGTACATACGAAAAATAATGTGTATTTAGACTGTTGGCAGCATAAAAAGATCGAGATTTGTAACGTAGAGCAGGAGATGTAGGAATCTCATATCTTTAATGGTTTTAAGCATTGTTTTCTTGTACTCAGAATTATTTTTAATGCAAACATAATTGTGACGTAAAAGAAAATTGACATCTTTAAAATAACTAGGACAAATAAGAACTAGTATTTTATGTACTAAAAATATTTTATATACTAACTATACCGTAGTAATGATTACTTAACTGGCTAATAAGACTTACGACAAACTGACGACTGACAAAGAGATGTGAGTCTGATCATGCAATCTCCACGTGGTACACTTGGTCAATGTTAATACCGGCGACACAAATTACGCATACATGTACACCCATATACTTGCCACACACACACACACACATATATATAGATTTTTTTTAAACATTTTTTTATTAACTTAATACATATATTCAAAAACAGGCATTTTTTAAACTCCAATGACATTTACTTTCAGTGTATCTTTTAGAGTTTTGATTTTTGGACTCTGTACCCATGGAGACTTTTGATCAACACCACCTAAACTACAACATATTTCAATTTTAGTCAAATTGACCAGAATCACTTTTACATTTAAAATATGTGGGGTCTTTTGCTTTATAGATAATTAATAGCATGAATGTCAATATTCTTGCAGATATTAACAACAGTATTAACAGTAATCGTTTATCCATATTCGATTTATATACTGAAAATTGAAAGACATAAACTATTACCAAGTGTGCCGCCGCATGGCCATGGATTCGTGCTATTAGGTTTTTGGACATTAGCATTTGTTGCTGAAAATCTGGTTTTAATTAATATTGGAAAACTTGAATGGTGGTTCCACTTGAACTCGTAAGTCTATTAAAAGAAAAGGATTCTACAAAGATGGATAAAACATTTTTTTTTAAGTAATTTTTTTCAAAAAGTAATTCCAAAATTAATTTATCTAATTTCAATGTTTTGTTGCAGCCTGACAGATCAAATTGAAATGGCTCTATTCATTTTGCGATATGTTAGTAACCTGTTGATTTTTGCTCTCGGTTTACGAGCTCCTGGCATTGCCAATTTTGACTCCGATTATCGTACACTTAATGATGACACAATTATGCGATCACAATATTATCGTGAAAGAGTAAGCAATATATAACTACACGTATAGTATACGATTAAGAAAATATTAATTTACACAAAACTATTTATAGAGATCAGATAATGCTTCCACATGGACAAATCTGTGGTACAAGACTAAAATTTTAGGACCGTTTTTATGGCCAAAATCAGACTTTTTACTTCAATTGAGAGTGATATTTTGCTTCGTGTTGCTGCTATCTGGACGTTTGATAAATCTTTATGTACCGATTTACAATAAAAAAATTGTGGACAGCGTTACGATTTCTCCTGTAGAATTTAGGTACGTAATTGAGTCTCTTATTATTCATTCACATTGATTTACAGAAATTGCGCTAATTGTCACTTCTTATTGTAGGTGGGATATAGTATTGATATATGTAGCATTCAAATTTCTGCAAGGTGGTGGTACAGGAGGTATGGGTTTGTTGAATAATTTAAGATCCTTTCTATGGATCCGTATTCAACAATATACTACTCGTGAAGTGGAGGTAGAATTATTCAGGTAAGTTAAAGTTATGTCGCCCCTCTTAAATATTAGGATTGCATTGAAAAAAAACTTGGCATTACATCGTTTTTCACAGCGTCTATCAAGCAAAATAGAATTTATTTTTATAATTACAAATATAATATCCCTTCTCAAGGCATTTACATAGATTGAGCATGCGTTGGCATCTCGGAAGGAAAACTGGTGAAGTATTAAGGATCATGGATCGTGGCACAGACTCGATCAATAATTTACTCAATTATATCCTCTTTTCGATTCTACCAACCATTATTGATATTATTGTGGCCGTTTTGTTTTTCGTCAGTGCATTTAATAAATGGTTCGGTCTCATTGTTTTTACAACTATGGTTCTTTATATCGGTAAGCATAATAGTAATAGATAGTAATAACTGATGTGTAGTAATAATAGTACTACTAGAAACCTTATGCTCATTGAGATTGTAAAAATGAGCAGATTTATTGTCACAGAACCAGCGAATCGTGAAATACTAATATAAATCTTTCCCTTATCAACATCTTGTCTATCAATCTAGCTGCCACAATTGCAGTCACGGAATGGCGTACAAAATTTCAAAGACGTATGAATTTGGCCGACAACGCGCAGAAAGCACGTAGCGTTGATAGTTTACTGAATTTTGAAACGGTGAAATATTACAGTGCAGAAGCATATGAAGTGGAAAGCTACAGAAAAGCAATTTTAGAATATCAAGTACAAGAATGGAAATCAATGATCACGCTGAATATCTTAAACACTTTACAAAACATAATTGTCTGCGGTGGTCTATTATCTGGATCACTATTGTGTTTACATATGGTTAGTGCTCACATAAAAATGTATATTGTAACTGTTATAAACAAAAATGTTTACTTGTAGTGACAAAATGTATACGTACAATGATAAATTGATTTTCTTGTAGGTTGTTTTCCACCAAGGTTTAACAATTGGCGACTATGTTTTGTTCGCTAGTTATATAATACAACTTTACGTACCACTAAATTGGTTTGGCACATATTATAGGTAATATATATATATATATATATATATATATATATATATATATTTTTTTTTTATTAATATTATTATATATATTAAAAACGGATATATTTATTTACATAACGCACGAGTTATTACAGAAATATACAATTTATATTTGTTATCGATTGACCACACTTTGTCTAAGCTATTATCCCAAGCAATTTTATTCATTTCTTTGGATAACCTTTTTTTTTGTCCAAAGGGCCATTCAAAAGAATTTTGTCGATATGGAAAACATGTTCGAGTTACTTAGGGAAGAGCAAGAGGTAATAGATGCACCAGGAGCTGGACTATTGGATGTCAAGCGTGGACAAGTAGAGTTCTTGAATGTATCGTTTGGTTACACTCCTGAGAAACTCGTGCTCAGAAACGTCAGCTTCGTCGCACCCGCGGGAAAAACGATAGCGTTAGTTGGCCCATCCGGTGCCGGGAAAAGTACTATAATGCGATTACTATTTCGCTTTTATGATGTGGAACAGGGAGCAATTTTAATTGACGGGCAGAATGTAAAGACTGTTAAACAGGAGTCTCTCAGAAATAACATAGGTAGTTTTGCATCGAGCATTTTCCATAATGATGGATAAATTATCCATCAGACTAAACGTTTATTCGATGAGTGCTTATCCTGAGAAAATTTGTACGATTTTACAGGTGTCGTACCGCAAGATACGGTCTTGTTTAACAACACTATAAGATATAATATTCAATACGGTCGTATTGATGCACTAGAAGCGGATATAATTGCTGCTGCAAAATACGCGGATATTCACGAGAGGATTCTCACATTTCCGAGCGGTTACGAAACACAGGTTTGTCAATATTGTTGGCCTGCATAGGGGCGCGAATTCGATTCTTTTTAATGTAATATTTAGATTCTGCTAGATCTCTGACTCCTTTTCTGCCTTTTTTTATTTTTCTCATCGGCTGGTCTCATAAACTTTGAAATTTTAAGTTGAAATAAGTTTATAGACATCCAACCATAAAAAAAAATATATATTTATAATTCAAATAAAATTAACGTTTATTACGTTTGTACGTTTGTATGTTTGTATTTACTTTTTTAATATTATATGTTTGTGTTTAATTCTGTTTCTTAGGTTGGCGAAAGAGGACTTAGACTAAGCGGTGGTGAAAAGCAACGCGTTGCAATTGCACGCACAATATTAAAAGCTCCAAAAATAGTACTGCTTGATGAAGCTACGAGTGCTTTGGACACACAGGCGGAGCGTAATATACAAGCAGCATTAAACAGAATATGCGCTGAACGAACTACTATCATTATAGCGCATAGATTATCCACCATAATTCATGCGGACGAAATCCTCGTCTTAAAAGATGGTGAAATTATTGAAAGAGGCAAACACGAAGAACTAATTTCACACGGTACTGTTTATCATGCTATGTGGCAAGCGCAGCTTCAAAATAATCAAGAGAATAGCAAGAATGAGACAAATTCAATCCATGAAAATGATGTCCTAATTAATTAATAATATAATTATACATTTACACACACACACACACACACACACACACACAAATACACACACACGGGATGAGGAAAAAATATGGAAACCCTGAAAAATTTCAAAGTAAAACTCCCATATTGTAGTATATCTTGAAGGGCATAAAGTAGGAAAAATTTTGGCACAAACCAGAGGTCGATACGTTGATCCGTTCAGGACCTCTATTCTGTAACTCTAACGACAGTGTCGGTATCGTTATGTCGTCGTTGCGCAGCTTTTTTTCCATATAGTATACCTGCGCAACGACAACGTAACGATACCGACACTGTCGTTACGAGTTACAGAATAGGGGTCCAGGAGTTATTTAGGGCCAAACTTCGAAAAAGCCAATTTTTGGCCCTAAATAACTCAACATATCTACCTCTGGTTTGTGCCTTTCTTATTTTATGCCCTTTTAAGGGCCAAAGCACATAACATGGCGTAGCGATATACGACGGTCGTAG